TTAAGGAAGAAACAACCACTTTTTATGAAGAAAGTACAAGAAGGTTACTGCAGGATCGCCACTGGCTTCTATTCTGAGCCATATCTGATAACGTTTCTAGCCACTGTGTAGAACCATCCCTCGGACCCCAACCAGAGAATCGTGAAGGTCCGACAGAAGCCAGTCCTTTGCAGATTTCTTTCATACCACGACACCATGTCATGCACTGACCACCTCTCCGCTTCTTCCAACCAGTCCCAGAGTCGGCAAATAATGCACGACGTGGAATTCTCTGGGACGACATTCGTAGAACATGTCCAAGCCACCGAAGTCGGTGTTTCAAGATGGTGACACCAATTGCATTATCGTCTCTGTGCCCGAACACACGATGCCGAACCTCTGCATTACTAACATGGTGTTGCCACTGGATGTCAGCAATCCTTTGGAGACAACGATGATCGAACACAGAGAGTCTTCTAACGTCCTCAACTCGGAGAGGCCAGGTTTCACAAGCATAGAGCAAAACTGCTCTCACCGACGTGTTGTAGATCCGACCTTTTACAGCCAGACTAACATCACGAAGGCGCCAAAGGTGACCCAGATTGGCATAAGCCGCTCTGGCTTTCACTATACGTGCATTGATCTCATCACTCACACCCCCACCAGCACTTATGCAGCTACCCAGATACACGAACTTCTCGACTACGTCTATCTGCTCACCATCCAGGGTGAGTACAGGATTGGAATCCTGCCAGTCTTGTAGGAGTACATTGCACTTCGAAGGTGCAAAGCACATACCCATACTTACGGACACTGATTGCCAACCGATTAAGTGTGGATTGCATGCCTTGGGCATTATCGCACAGTAAGACACTATCATCCGCATACTCAAGGTCGAGAAGTCTTTCTTCAGGCAACAGATCCACACCGCCATTAGTTACATCCATCAGAGCTGTTTCCAGAATGTCATCGATTGCAAAGTTGAAGAGGAATGGTGAGATTGGGCAACCCTGTCTAACCCCACTGCTCGAATAGAACAATGCAGAGAGGTGGTTGTATGCCCTCACTCTGTCTGAGGTGTTTGTATATAGGGCCTTTAGGATGTTAATAAACTTCTCAGGCACACCCTTCTTCAATAGACAATCCCAGAGAACAGTCCTATCCAACGAATCGAAGGCAGCCCTGATGTCGAGAAACACTACGATTGTTGGCCTTTGAAAAGTATGGCGGTGTCCTAACATTTGGCGGAGGGTGAAGATATGATCAATACATCCTCGACCAGAACGAAACCCAGCCTGCTCCTCGCGAGTCAATCTTTCTCGGGTTTTGAACAACCTACGAAGTATGACGGAAGCCAATAGCTTGGACGCAATCGGAAGTAGACTTATCCCCCGATAGTTGTTACAAGAACGACGTGAACCTTTTTTAAAGATAGAGACAACTATCGACTCATTCCATGACGTTGGTACACTTTCTAGCTCCCAAACCTTTGTAAACAACGTCGTCAATTCCTTAGTCAGAAAGTCACCACCATCTTTATAAAGAGTCAGAGGTAAGTCATCTGGGCCTGGTGATTTGTAGAGCTTTAAGAGTTGGAGTTCCTTGAGGACTTCCGCCTCATTCGGTGGATCAGTCGTCATCGGCCATGGAGGGCAGGACAGTCTGACCGATGCTGCCGGAGCAGCAGGCCAGTTGAACTGCCTTTCGAAAAATTCTGCTCATCGTCCAAGACGTCGATGGATGTTAGTGATTGGCATCCCATCATCCTCGTAGATTGTTTCGCCCACACCAGACTTCTCGCTACCAGTGGCTCGGATGAGTTGAAAGAGCTTCCAGTAATTACCAGATGCAGCTGCTGCTTCCAGCTCATTAGCACGCTTCGACCACTAGGCTTCTCGATCCTTACGCAAGCTTTGCCCAATTTCATTACGTAACATCCTTCGTTTGTGATCAAACTCACGGTCACCCGGAGTAGACCGACGGGCTTCAATGAGTTGTAAGGAACCTGAAGAAACCCAGTGTTTATAAACGGGACGTTTCGCGAATCCACAGCTGACTGTACCAGCCATTTTCATGGCGTCATGCAATTGAAACCAATGCTCATCTATACTTTTCGGTGGAATGGTAGCTAGTCTAGAAACTAGCTCGGTTCGATACTTACTAGCAACAGAAATTGCAACCAGCATGCTAATAGCGATCCGTTGATGGCGGTCACTTCGTTGGCCACTGAAAAGTAAGGTAAGACTGGCAAAGACTAGGGCATGATCAGAGTACAGATAGGTACTCCAAAAGGAGTGGCAGTCTTGTACACAATCACGCCAGCGGTAGCTGATTGCTATGTGACCAATCTGAGTCCAGGCTTCAGATGCAGAGGGAGGACGCCAGATGGCACATTGGCGATGACTGTGCCAAAAGTTGGTGCTAGCCAGAAACAGGTTGTGGTCTGTGCACAGTTGCAGTAGACGGTCTCCGTTATCTGACCTGCAACCAACGAGTCCCCATCGGTCGCCTAAACGACTCTCTTCTGTGCCTAGACGCCCGACCTGAGCATTCAAGTCTCCGGCTAGTACTACAATATCTGTCGAACGCACTTTCTGGAGAAGAACAGATAAATGGTGGTAAAACTCATCCTTGATTGTATCCGGGCTGCAATCTGTCGGTGCATAGGCGGAGATGACGGAAAGACATCGTTTCTCACGCCGATTTCTTCTCACTTTGATGGAACTTTCTAGTCTAACAACACATAACCGACTGTTAATGGGGATCCAATCGACTAGTGCTGCTCCAGCTCTAGCGCTTAGTGCGACACCAACGCCAGCGAGACCAGACGAAGATGCCACAGGGTCCCCGGATAAGCGCACGTAAAACAAGCTTTTTGAAGCGACAGATGGAGATCGAATTTGTAGTACTTCGCCAGAGTCTAGAATACGGGTCTCGGATAGACAACAAACATCAATATTAAGACTTTCCAAAGACATAGCCAGCCCTATCTGTTGTCCAACCTGCATAAGTGTGCGAACGTTGAAGGCAGCCAGTTTGAATGGCGCACGTGGTTTCAGAAAAACTGCTTCAGTCCTCGTACTCGGTAGTAACATACAATTTTCAACCGGACAGTGACTCGAGAACGTTTAGATAGAGTCGAATTTCCACCAAAGACGAGCTGCTGTATAAGTCGAAAAAATAAGTATAGACAGAGTAGGAATAGTAGAGGGTGAATAATGATGTAGTAAATAATAATAATAATAACAACAATAATAGTTATGATAATAATTTGAATCATTTGATTGTTATTCGAAGCAAGAGAAGTAGTTCCCATAGATGTAGAGAGTTCATCGGTTGCGTGTGGACTGTGATACTACCCGGGTGCCCAGACCGAAGCAGGTGGTTTTCTTAGGGGGCCACTCCCCGAGCCTTTGACCTAAAGGTCTAACCCACAAGGCAGTCGAGCATCGTAAGGAAATGCATTCCCATGGTAGCCGGTGACGGAATATTGGTTCATACGCCATTTGTTCCTGCAGGATACTGGGGCCCATATGCACCATTGGTTTTGGATCCGGTTAAAGCGCCGGACATTCGTTTTTCGTCCTCTCATTTTCGTAAACAACACCCCGACCACGAGAAGGCAGTGAGTAGGACTTCCGTGGCAGAGGCTGTATACACGTGGCCGTGTGAGAGTATTTTGTGAGGGAGGGCGGACCCACCCCGCTCTCGGCCATACCAGGGCATTTGGGGGCTCATTACTCAGATATCAACCAATATATTTTCGAAATAAACTACAACCAATGAGTCATCAAATTCAGTAAAATTCCATGAGATTAGGACTTGAGTCAGTGATCCATAGAAATCGGGATGTAAAAAATAATTTATTCGAAGGTGCAAAAGTTGATATTTCATTGAAAATATAACATTTAAACTAATTATCCCATAGAAATGGTTCCATATCGAACTGGACAATGTGTATGAATCGATGGTTGCCTGGCCAACAGCTGAAGCATTAACTATAAGAAGCTTCCACAGTAGATATAGGTTATTTTCTGATTAAAGTTCGGGGAAAGCATTGTATTATAGGGCGAAATTCTATGTGGAGATGAATCCTTTGTGCTTACAAATAGATATAACATTGAAATATGAAGGTTTTTATTATTTACATAATTATCACAACTAATGTTGGCACATTTATGTCATAAGTTCTAGATAGAGTTAGAAAAGAAAATATTAGTCAAAAACTATCTAAACAATCATAGATGATGAAATAGGGATTATAAAGATTTGTATGTTTCAAATAGTTCGTAATAACAACCCTGGTAGTTAAAAAAATAATGAAGTTTAATGGTGTAAATGTTAGGTCCCGATAAGCATAATGAAGGGTAACTTTTGGGACCCATTTATGGACCAATTCTATGCGTATATTTTCATCGTATAATTGTTAAATGACTAAACTATTCATAGTCATGTCCCTCTTATTATGAGACTTATTTTGACCTATGAAATATTATTATACCATTTACCATTCTTGAATTATGCCGTGTCTATTGATTACTACCTCCCACATTCGGCCAAATCTTGTATAAATGTTGTTTCCTATCTTATTGGTACGATGCGGTCTATCTGGTTGGTATATAAACCCAGTATGCTTGAAATAAATTATTCATATTGCAGAGGCTGAGATTGGTTTTCTGCACTTATCTGGCTGAGCTAGGCACGAAGCACGGCCAATAAGGACTCTAGACTGCTCTCACTAGTTTTATGCGCCGTTGGTCCGATCGATAATTCACTGCCCTCTAATTGGCGGTATCATTACGTTCTACATTAACAGGGCACACAGGTCACAATTTCTAACAGTAAAAAACTTAATTTATATTCTTTTCGAGTGTAAATTTGAATTAAACAGTCACAAAATTCAAATATTATTTTCAGTCTCCAAAGTATAGGCATAAATTTTGATGTTATATAAACTCTAGTTCATATTAATGTAGTTTAGTCAGTGGTTAACCGTTTCCCAACATTAAGTAAACTAACGATTACAAGCGTTCATTTTTTATTTAGGGAAGAAGTCAAAATACATTAACACATTGATAAAGATAAAAACACTTTAAAACACATATACACACATGTTATAAAAGAGGATTTTCTGGTGTTTCTGTACAGCATCGTCGTTCATTTGACAAGATACGATAAGCCTCTCTAATATGCTTTGGTTTTAACGGTCCATTTTCACCTAATTTTTCTTTGTAATTTAATGCTATGAAAAAAAATAATCGAAAGTCAATAATCTAATAAAAACCCTACAAAACACAGTAGTTTTGACTAATCAATATTCATGTAGTCAAATTTTCTAATAAATTTGAAAGGAGACTAAATCAAAAGTTGAACAAACATCTAAGGTTTATACTGGTTAACATTTCGGGAATAAGCATGAGTTTTTTTTTGTGTACAACTACTTTTGGTATACAAATAATGTAACTAAAGTCCATTTCACCTATAATAAATATTGTTAACATTACGGCAAACTATTTATGTCAACAGTTATGTACACAAAAGTCACCCGAGATAATGTGACATTTTTGAACCGAGTAAATCATAATAATGCCGTATAGCTTTTAGACCGCTAATACCTAGGTCATTTTGTAATTGATAAGCATCTTGAAGTATGCAATCTATCAGTTGATGGAAATCAGACCAACCAATCATATGGTCAGAGATAAACCTAATACAAAAGTAATTACAATATGAATGTACAAGAAGATAACAAACAGTTTGAGGATAACCAATCGCTAGTCCTGTTAGTAAAGTAGACTGATTTAGTACTTGCTTGTTAATCCTAAAAGAATAATTTCTTTTTGAAATAGGCGCTACCAATCTTGACCAGAATGATAACAGAAGCGTTATATTTGAACAACTAATTTAGGTGAATGAAACATATTCGGATGGATTCATATGAGCTATAAATTCTGGCTATCATTTGAATAGTGAAAATAGTTTCCAGGTCATCAGTTTTGTGATTAGTTCTTCAAGTTGGTTATGAATATATACTTCTAAATAGATTAAAAATAGGGTGTTTAGTAGCCCCTATTTTCCAACTAACTAATTATTCGTTGGTAAAAGCGCTTGTAATCAATTAACTCTGATTAAAACAAAGAACTTTTTTGGGGTGGTTGATTATGGGAGTCAGAACTTGTGATTCATTTTATTTAAGGTGCGTTTACCATATTATTCTATGTTCAAACTCATACAAATGCAGCACCTCCGACATTATCACTAGTTTGTTTGAGATATACAGAATGAAAGATTTAACCGAACATTTGTCGTTGTGCCAGTAAAACGAAGAAAAGGCTCAGATAATAAAAGGAAAAGTCATGTTGTTATATGTTATCTATGCATATTTGCTGATAATAGATACGTTTAAGATATGAACGCTTGACACTGAGTTTTTACTGCTTCCAAGTCTGATAGAAATCTCCAACTTTTGAACGCCGAACAGACGGCGAGACGTATGGAAAGAAGCCTTACTTTTAAAGTAAGTTTGAATTAAGAAAAAATGCTTATAAGTTAACTCATGACGATGATATTCTAGAAGCTTTTGGAAACATGCAAAAATTCGTAACAGAATTGACGATTATCTAATCAGTATGTAATATATAATCAATCGTTTTCTTTAAACTCTCTGGGAAGTTTCTACTGAAGGCTAATTAGACGAAGTATTACCAGCCTCTTTTCAGTTTTTAAAAGCATTTCCGAATAATTCCTGTGGGCTTCCGAAAGTTTTAATGTTTAATTCTCCTTATCGTCGATACAGTAATGATGTACGAGAGAAGTTATTCTCGAAAACATCATTGAAGCATTCAAAATTCTGTTTCAAATGGATTTTCTAGATTGAATCAACTCATAGTACTTTTGTATTGAAAGAATTTTCATAAACTGTGTTTTAAAAATGGATAAAAACGACCATTTTAATATATATATGAACAGGGGAACCTGTCGAATTAGTTCATTTATAACTAATCAGTTTCAATATTTCTCTAATTTTCGTGTTTTTATAGTTTGGAATAAAATGATGATAATAGACATTTTAAATCATTCTGATGAACGAATCGGTAAAAATGATTAAGTACTGTAACAAGCTAGCACTTTTTACACAATGTGGGATATAGACTGAATTATTATTCTGCAAGAAATACATATTCATTATGACCTAATCATATACGAAAAGCGACACTTTAACCATTCTCCACTCAGGGAAAGATGACTACATATCTTGTAAGAGGAGTTTCTACTATTTATCGCACGACGCGTTCGCATTTTTAAGCTGCCACTGAACTTAGAAAGTAGAACATGATGAGACATTATGTGGTGGAATAATTAGACACAAAGAGAGTGAAGGTTATATCACAGAAAATAAATAACATAGTCAAGATTGGATTATAGAACTAAAGAGTAAAAGTTCCTATTGAAGTTCAACGGGAAATAAAGTATTCTCAAGCCATGCAAATCGAGGCGATTAAAGCCAATGAATATCATTTAAATATTATCTATTACATACTTATAATATAGACAAAATGAACCCTAAAGGTGATGTCTTGGAGAATTTTATAGCAATAAATAAATAACATTTGATTAATGTTACACCCGAACTAAGAATAAATTAATGGTAACTGCTAAGAATTATTTATGGACTGTTATTACATATATTCTTATTGGGTAATTATTAAGTAACTAGATTATATACATTCGTATTCATTTCATTTGATAATGGCTATTGTGATACGATTTACCATTCTTAAATTATCCCGATTTATTAGTTACAGACTTTCACACTTACAGCCACTTTTTGGCTTGACCATGTATGGTTGTTACATTTTATTTTATGGTGTGATACGGTCCGGTTTGCTTGTATACAAACCACGTATGTCTGAAATGGTTCATACAGTGGAAGCTGAGATTGCTTTCTCGGCTCGATGGGTACGGCCAAGCGAGAAAGACCAATAAGGATTCAGAGTTGATACAAGGCTGCTACTGTTGTCTTGATGCATCATTGGTTTAACACAAGAACAAGGTCATACTAATTTAATAGTCGAATTCATGAGTCAATTCAAGCTAGACTACCATAAAAAACCTAGAAACACTGGACACCCATTTCGTTCAAGTATGGGACTTCTCAGCAGCGCGCATCCATGATCCCGCACGCTGAACGAAATAGCCGTCCAGTGCTTCCAGGTTTTCCAGAGTGGTCTAGCTTAAATCAAATCATGAACTCAACTAGTAAATCACTACAATTTCCACAAACCTTCATTCTGATACGGTCAGTGAATCAGTCAGTAACAACGTGGAAACTCGTACGTACGTACATCAGTTCGAGTTGCCACACCACATTAGCACAGAGATGCAGTTATCAATTCAAATTCCGTAGTGGTAGAGGTAGTAAGAGTATAAGCAGTAATCGGAAACATTAGGGTTTGAAGATGTTATTCAAGGAGTATAATACAGTGAAATAAATTTAGAAAGAGGAAAAAGAAATGGACATGAAAAATTCAGAAGATTAGAATTTGGGAGAACACAAAAATTGGATGCACCTGAGCCATTGCAACCGATTTTGAGCCATGTCATTCAAGGTCTACAACCATCGGTTGCTATCATCTCGCAGATCTTAACCAGGTAGACTACCCCTACCGACATGGCTCAGTCCACTTGTCAGTGACTTCATGGATTTGTGCCATGTTTTGGTCTGGCCGCCCCTAGCTTTCTTCCAACCTACTCCTACACCATAAAACATCGCACATCGAGGCAGTCAGTGGTTGGGCATACGTAACACGTGTACCAGCCATCTCAACTGATAAAGTTTCACCACTACATCAATCGATTTGCCATCCTTACCTAGTACCCGTTTCCTAACAACTGCATTACTTACTCGATGGTCCCAGGATATACGAGCAATGTTTCGAAGACACCTATGATCAAATACTAGTAACCTACGAATATCCTCTACTCTTACTGGACATGTTTCACTGCCATAAAGCACGAAGGAACGAACTGCTGCGCAGTAAACACGTCCTTTGGTTGATAGACGGATATCTCGCCTACGCCATAAATGACGCAAGTTGGCAAAAGCTAGTCGAGCCTTCTGTATCCGTGCTGAGATTTCGTCACACACCAGACCACAAGGGCTGATGAGACTTCCAAGATAAGTGAAGCGGTCGACACGCTCAACTACTTCACTCCCTATCATTAGTTCGGATGTCAATGCAACCCAATGCTGAAGCAACATTTTGCATTTCGATGGGGAAAATCGCATCCCGAACATGCCTGCATTGTTGCTTAGAGTGGTCAGAAGACTCTGCATTTTGTCAGCGTCTTCACCAAATAGAACTATGTCATAGGCATATTCTAGGTCAAAAAGTGAATCTCGCAGTAATAGTTTAACCCCTGAAAATTTAAATGAGGAAAGTGTTATCTCTAGAAGCAGGTCAATAACAAAGTAAAACAAGAATGGAGAGAGTGGAAAACCCTGACGAACACCACTTGAGGTAATCAATTCTGATGACAGTTCACCATAAGCTCTCACTCGACCAGCTGTGTTCGAGTACAGAGCCTTTACAAGGTTAATGTACTTCTTTGGTAATCCTTTCAGTGACAAACACTGCCATAGAACCTTACGATCGACAGAGTCGAATGCTGCTTCAAGGTCGAGAAATACCATCATTGTGGGGCGTCTGAATGTGTGTCTATGTTCTACGACCTGACGTAGTGTGAATATCTGGTCTATACAACCACGTCCAAGTCAAAAACCAGCCTGATTTTCTCTAGTCTGTTCTTCACGAGCTTTGGTTAGGCGTCGAAGTACTATTGAAGTTAAAAATGTAGGCACTACATTAGTCAAACTGATTCCTCTGTGATTGTCACAAGAGGACTTTTGTCTTTTCTTATAGACTGGCTCAAACGATTGTCCCTTGGGCTCCGCGGTCACGCTCCCAGGTCGTTAAGGCCAACATTAATCCAACTTCCTTTTTAGGTTCCTTAAGAAACAGCCTTCCACGCTGTGGGCAGGTGGGAAGTGACATCAGCCATTATACCTGTAACAGCACACGAGACCAAGTTGGTAACATTCAAATCTGATAGGGTCATATTAGTTCCTATTTTGATTGGCGATTTAATCACGTGATAACTAATAGGGTAAAAATGATAACAATTAGATAAGTTATTTATGTATGTAGATTGTGATGAAAAGGAAGTTCTCCTTACCTTCTTCAACTAATTCTCCAATAAAAACTTTTGTTAAGCCAGCCATAGCGATAACTACATTTTGTGAAACTGAACATGGAGCTACAGATTGTATTAGCTGTGGACAAAAGCAAACAAATTATATTGTTAAAGTTTTCTTCTTACAAAAGTTCATAAATTGTATTTGTTTACAGAATATTAAATCATGTGACATGAAAAATTAAGACTAAATGGGAATCAGAAGATTTAAATAAATAGTTGCGTACTTTTGAGAAACCCTAATCTAGGACAAAACAAATATTCAATATCCCCTAATTTTTAGTGGTGCTCTAAATGAATTTCATCAGTAACAAACATCATTCTCAAATATAAATATGTTCATCAAAGAAAAAAACGGATATATACGTTGAACAATACATTAGGATTAGCTTCAATGTAAACTAACACAACTAATACCAGCCTATTTGGATTTACATTACAGTTCTGAAGGCTAACGATTGGAAATCACTTTTTCTTACTTACACGTAGGCTTTTAAACTACAAATCTCTCGAATCAGGATGGCCAGTTAAACGAATGAAGTGATAAACACTTTAATTGAAGCAAAAACAATACCATGACAGTAATACTAAGTAAACGAAACGGAAAACACGGTCATGACTCAAATTTTTTGTCAAAATGAAATCTCATAGAGATGAGGACTATTTGATTAACCGTTAAGAAAAAAATTACTTTACACTGAGAAATAAATAATATGAAATTTAATTTTGTCCCGAAATAATATCAAGATTTACTGAATAGTTGTTCCATCCTATTTGGGACTTTTCAGTAATGTTCATTCATAACTCCAAACGAGTTTGAACACATAACTATCAAATCGTCCGGAGAGTATCACATCTTTAGATCAGAGAAATTAAGATTCGATGATTCCGTTATAACCTGGATTTTTACGTGAACATAAATATACTTGTTCGATCTAGTAATCAAGATAGAGATGTGAACGTCACAGACTATATTGACAGAAATTACAAACTGGAAATATAAATGTACACAAATTGTATAAGTAGTCAGTTTTACACAACACGTAAGTCTATTCGCGTAATCATAGAATTCGAGACCAGCTAGGTGACAATAAGCTGATTTTGGTTGAATATTTTCAGAATAAATAATCTTTGATGCTTATTGATATGCTCAGTGATTTGGTGTGATATGATCTATCCACAGTTAGGATTAAACATTTATTCATCATTGATGTGTGGTAGTGAAAGTAAAATGTAATTGGTAGTTGAGCGTGAACAAAAAGGCACTTAGCTTACTGACTATTAAATGCATGATCTTTTTTCCTCTCATTGATTTCTACTTCGGACTTATTGAAAGTGACCACTTTTAACTGTGTTGAATAATGTACTAACTAGTGTTCTGGTTCTCTACTTAGCATATTAACGTAGTATCGTAGTATACCTGAGAGAGGGAAACATTTTAAACCATCCGTTATATAAACCATAGTAATCCATTAAGCGTTCCAGAAAGATTTGTACTTCAAAGTTGTTGATGTTTAGGAATAGATTTGACTAGTCTCTGTTAACATCGCAACCTAACTAGGTTTCCGGTATGAATAATAATAAAATCCATGACACGTGCTCCGTTTTGATATATTCGAATTCCAGTCTCCGACTTCTCTACTTAGGTAAGAACCCATTCAGTGAATAATAAGTATCATATTTATTGAATAAGTTGATTGCTATTCTGATTAAGTAACTGATTAGATAATCATCTAATGTGTGAAACGATGAGTTGGAATCACAGTGTGAAACTCAACACTAAGATGTATGTACCTCCAGTTTAAATTGAAATAAAACGCGTATCACTGATCCGAATACCAGCCATTACCCGAATCTGTTATAAATAAACTTATTACTATCACAATTTAAAATAATTATGGATTTATACATTAGAATAATAACACTAAGACCACTCTACTACTACTACTGCTACTACTACTAATACTAATACCAATACCACCATCACCACTACTACTACTACTACTACTACTACCACTACTACTAATACTACTACTACTACTACTACTACTAATAATAATAATAATAATAATAATAATAATAAATCTCTAGTTTGTCACTTTTTATTCAAGAAAAAAGTTGGTGAAATTCACACTAGATTTATTCATCATGACAAGTGAATTAAATTTCTTTTCTAGTTTTATGATAAATCAAAACAAGGTAACATTTTCAAAGTGTATAAACATTAGAATAACACGGATCTATTGTTTAAAACATATATTGTTTTGTAATTTTGTAAGTTAATCTGAGTAAAACAGCAATCGATAGAAGTTAGTACTAAAGACGAAAACAAAAAAATTAAGAAACCTTAAAACATGCTTTTTCAGTTAGTGCTTATTTAGTTTAACTATAATAATTTTTTTATTATCCCTGTCATATAAATATGAATTTCAATTGTGTAGAAAGGAAAGTAGAGTTATTTTTTAAATTACTATCTATACATATAGTATACCATTGAACAACAAGAGATGCAGTTAACTGTTCACAGTTATTCGACCAATAATTACAATAATTAAAGAAGTTGAAAGGAATCAGCCGAAAGATCTTGATAATGAGATCCATATTCACTAAAGTTCAATTGAAGCTAATCTTAATATTATTGAATATTGTAATATTGTATATTTATAACCGCTAAAACCTTATTCAAACAGTTATATGGCGAGATTATAATTTATGGACGAACCAATCATGTATAAAACAAGAGGTCTTGGATTTTGGCGCCAAATTCATTCATCCATTTGGCTAAAATGTTTTGGCATTATAGCTTATGTCAGTTCGTGATGAAAACCCTAAATCTAATTCCTAACCTTAACTATCAACTGTAAATCATAATTATAATTCCTCACACAGATTTATAATTCACATTTGGTCCTAGTTATTAAGTGGACACTCAAGGTCAGTTTAGCGTCGCTCAAAGGTCGTCCGAAGATTGTAGTCTCACCAGTTACATTTCTTAATTCAGTTGAAATGGAAAAGAACGTTTGGTTTTGTGAAACTGACAAAGCTAATGAGAATTTAAATGATCGAAAAAGTTCTTATTTAATATGAAAAAAATTATTTTATAAATTAGTCGTAAACCCAACAGTTCAAGCCGTATTTCTTCATAATTCAAACTTAGTTGGATCCGATGACAAAAGGATCTTTCTAAATTCATCCAATCAAAAACCAATGGATACTATATTTCTGAATACTTAGTATACTACTGAATAGAAGTAGTTACACACTATGTGCACTAATTGAGAAACTGAACAAACCAATTAAGCACGAACTGAATAGGAAACAGGTGTTTTTAATGTTCTAATGATGAAATTTATTGAGCTATTAATAATTGTTGACAAATTGTGTGATTAATTAATAATATTTAAAGTATTCAACAATTCCTTAGTTTCACCGTTCTGTCTAAACTATTTAACTGTAAAGTGAGGAACACTAAATTCTCATTCAGTGGTTCAGCAGTAGATTGCTCATCGTGAGACCTGAAAACCCTGCTATCGGTGCTGTGTGGAATAATGGTTGAACATTAATGAGACGATGTAGCTGTTAAATTCTGTCTTATTCTCAAATTTTTGTTTGATGATAACAGTTCATGATGAAAAACAACCTCAGGTTGTATAGAGTCAAGACAAAAGCACTTAAGTATTTAATTATGCATTCTCGGCTTCAAAAACTCAAATTTATCCATAAAAAAAAGAAACTCAACTCCAAATCGCTAATAGGTCACTTGGATTTAAATTAAACAAATAAACTTATCGCTGTGGATACTTATGACAGTATAATGTCTACTTATGGTCCATTATGTAGAGTATTTTGATTACTTTTTAAAATATGGATGATATTTATGATATTTACCAAGTTATTTATTAAGGAAGTCCTCCACTGATCACATTTATCGGTGAGCATTAGAAAAAAACTTGCAATAACATTATTACTAAAAACATAATAACTCTATACGAATTTAGGTATTAGCCAACACGCTTTACTTAAGTTATCGAATTTATTCATTCTTTTCAAATCATATTCTCTGTTTCATTGTTTTCATTATCACTAAAAATTCTACTAATCCTACTACGGTACTAAAGTTCATTTTGATAATTTTATCTCCCTTTGTAAAATTGTGGTATGGCAATTTAAACCGATGCACGGGTTAAGTTACAAGTTGCTTACGACTGATCAACTTTCCCTTCCCAGGTTGTTTAGTGAATAAAGAGTGCAAGTAAATGTGCTGCTGAACACATTAACTGTCCTGTCACATATTATCATCATCGCAAATTTCTAAAACTGGTCAAAACATTTTCGAATTATCTATTTGAAATAACCTTCGTCAATGACTTAAGTAGCTTAAATTGCGATCTAGTTCTCATATTTAATTTGATTATAGATAAAATCAAAAATTAATAAGTCATTAATTCAAATTAATGAATGATGCTAGTTCACACAGAATAAATAAAACAACGGGAAAATGAAACTATAAACTTACTCGTCTTACTACAGCTTTAGTAAATGTAGCTCTTCGAAATGTTTCGAATCGATTTAACTGTTCCTCATCAAAATGTGCCAATAAAGCCAGTAATTTACGATCTTCTATTTTTCTTGCTTCTTTTTCTTGTAGTAGTGCAGATGATAGAATTTCACTGACAACAGATTCAGTATCTGCATCACCAAGTACAGTAGCGCTGTCATCTTCATCGTCCTCTTCTTCCTCTTCATCATCATCTTCCACTTCTTCTTCATCGTCATCATCTTCAACTGTTTCTTCATCATCTAACAAATTAGTATTAGTTAAAATTTCAACTTCACATTGATTTGTTACAGTTTCTGATATATGAGTAGATGATGAAGGAACAGATGAATCATCAATGACTAAAATAGTATTAGATTCACCTCGTTTAGTTTGTGATGAATCTACATTGTGCTTAAAAAGAAATTGGGACGAAATAAGATTGAACGGAATTATCATTAATATTTTGTGTTAATTTAGTAAAATATCTGTGACATAAAAGCAAAGAACATTAAAATTTCAATAGTTGAAATCATGAGTCAACTGAAGCCAGACCACCATGGAAAACCTGGAAGCACTGGATGGCCGTTTCGTTCTAGTATGGGACTCCTCACCAGTGAGCGTCCACGACCCCGCCCCCCGCGAGATAAAAAAATAAGAAAAGCATTTCCTTATCAATCTATATTCTAATAGACAGTACTATCTATAGGGTATACAAAAATATTAAACAAATTCAGGCAGTTTATAACAATAGATTACATAATTAAACATAATCAGTAAAAAGTACGAATTGATAGTGTGATGATAGGTGTACAAGTTGTGATAAGAATAAAAAAAGGTCTGGACCAATGTTTCATCATAAAAAGTAGGACACTGAAATAACATTCATTTAAAGTTGTTAAAATTACGTAATAAGAAGTATCCAAATAATTAGATAGTGAAGAATAAATTCAGAAAATGGGTAAAGAAAAATGAACGAACAACGAGTATGGATAATAATAATAATAAGTAAAATCGTTTGTTAAGCTTAGTTCCATCAAAGAAGAAATAAGGGTGTTACAAATTTCTTACGATTACAAAGACTTGGGTAGTTAGCAGGAATCCCTATAGCTTCTGACTTATGGAAGAGACGGAATCAAACCTCATAAGCTAAAGTACTACTGATTTACTTACTTACGCCTGTTACTCCTCGTGAAGGAGCATAGGCCGCTCACCAGCATTCTCCATCCAACCCTGTCCTGGGCAATCCTTTCTAGCTCCGTCCAGTTGTAATTCATCCTTTTCATATCTGATTCTATTATCCGACGTAATGTGTTCTTTGGCCTTCCTCTTTTTCGCTTCCCTTCAGGATTCCAAGTTAGGGCTTGCCTCGTGATGCAGTTTTACGATTTGCGTAATGTATGTCCTATCCATTTCCATCATCTTTTCCGAATTTCCTCTTCAGCTGGAAGCTGGTTTGTTCTCTCCCACAGAAGACTGTTGCTGATGGTATCCGGCCAATCGATGTTGAGTATCTTGCGCAGACAACCATTTATAAATACTTTTATCTTCTTGATGGTGGTTGTTGTAGTTCTCCAAGTTTCAGCTCCATACAGTAGAACTACCTTGACGTTCGTATTGAAGATTCTCACTTTGATATTGGTTGAAAGTTGTTTTGAGTTCCATATGTTCTTCAATTGTAGGAATGCGACCCTTGCTTTGCCGATCCTCGCCTTTACGTCTGCATCTGATCCTCCTTGTTCATCGATGACGCTTCCCAGATATGTGAAGGATTCTACATCTTCCAGAGTTTCGCCATCAAGTGTGATTGGATTGCTGTTCTCCGCTTTGAATTTGAGGACCTTAGTTTTCCCTTTGTGTATGCTGAGGCCTACTGATGCAGAGACTGCTGCTACACTGGCTGTCTTCATCTGCATCTGTTCGTGTGTACGTGATAGGAAGGCTAGGTCATCTGCGAAGTTCACATCGTCTAATTGGTTCTGAGCTGTCCATTGTATTCCGTGTTTTCCTTCAGATGTCGAGGTCTTCATAATCCAGTCGACCACCAGAAGAAAGAGGATGGGAGAGAGTAAACAGCCTTGTCTGACTCCGGTCCTTACTTGGAATGCATCTGTCAGCTGTCCTCCATGCACTACTTTGCACTGTAGTCCGTCGTATGAGTTCCGGATAATATTGACAATCTTCTCAGGAACTCCGTAGTGTCGAAGATGTTTCCATAATGTCCTCCTGTCTACACTGTCGAATGCCTTTTCATAATCAATGAAGTTGATGTATAGTGATGAGTTCCACTCAACTGATTGTTCGACGATGATCCGTAGTGTTGCAATTTGGTCTGTGCACGACCGATCCTTACGGAATCCAGCTTGTTGATCTCGAAGTTGGGCGTCTACTGCATCCTTCATCCGGTTCAGCAACACTCTGATGAAAACTTTCCCTGGTATTGACATTAGTGTAATGCCTCTGTAGTTTTCACATTTGCTCAGATCTCCTTTCTTTGGAATCTTAATGAGGTGTCATTCTTTGCAGTTCATCGGCACTTGTTCCTCCACCCAAATCTTTTTAAATAGAAGATAAAGCATGCTTGTGGTTGTTTCGATGTCTGATTTCAGTGCTTCAGCTGGTATGTTGTCGGGTCCTGCTGCTTTCCCGTTCTTGATTTGTCTGACGGCCATTCTAATTTCTTCCGTCGTTAGTGGGTTGACATCTATAGGAAGATCTATGTGTGCTAAAGTACTAGGTATATGATAAATTTCTCTTAGTTGATTTGGTTCTATCTACTACATGACCGTTATCGACCAAGCGTGACAGAACGGAAGTGCGTATTATTTTGGTTATACTTTTAGCATTAATAAGAGCTATTGCATATCCAAAAAACGAGAAAATAATTCTGTGCAATATTCATGATTGTTTGAATCCGAACTTTATTACTCCTATTTTTATTGTAACAGTAACATCATATGGTAAACCCCAGAAAAAAAAATTTACAAGTCGATTATCAGATCATTCTTTAATTATCCTAAGAACGTACTTAGTCTTTAAACACGATACTGATGGAGTACTGTTACGTTAATTGTTTACATGAAAAGTATTAAGATCTGGGTGAGAAGTAAATGCCACCAGAGCTAAAACTATTGAACTGCCTTACTCATTAACATTCTTTGAACTGAACATTAGTAATAATAATCATAAAAGACAATGGACAACTGACCACGCTTATTTGTTACATTTAATGAGATAAAACATTTATTATACGGAAGTGTTAAACAGAATGAACATTATTATAAATTAAATAAAGTCAGTCAGTTGGTTAATAATAATAATGTGGAGTTTATCTGACATCTATTGAAATCAGTTTTTTTGAATAATAGGCTGGATTGCCGTTTCGATTGATATGTGGAGATTTAATCTACAGTATACGCAGTTGTCGGATAGTGTGACTGAATAATCATCTCAACAATTTCGAAACAAGGCTTATCCTCACACCCACTATGTGGAAGCTATTATTGGTAAACAGATGATACAAGCTTATTAGTTAGGGAACGGTTCAAAAACAGTAACCAACTGGTTGATATTTGGGCGCTCACAACAATGAAAATGGAGTGATTCAGGACATTATCCCACTAAAGAGAAAATCACTGGAACATGTTGCAAATTATTTAGTCGAATATAAAAAAAAATTTAAAACAAAACAAACCTACCATATTAATCAATTTCGGCTTTTTAAACGGTTGTTCAACAATGGGTTGGTTATCATCATCTGAAACAGACTGAATTGCAGTTGTAGATAAGGGGACTTGATTCTGATCTGTTAAATCTGGATCTTGACTCCAATTTTGTGTACTACTGTTATTTTCATCATTGATTGGATAAAGACTTTTAGAAATAGGATCCATAATTCCCGAAGAGTTAGGGAATTATTTGGTTACAATAGTGAATCTGTAAAAACAGCACCATTTTTTTTGAAAAAAAATAGGGAGGTAAACTTTGATAATGAATTTAACTAGATAGAAACCAGTTTAAAGCTTCTTGTTCATTGCTTTTATACACTTAAGATAAAAATACGATATTATAACCAGTCACTTATCTTCCTGATCTCACCTGACCTAATTAACAACACAAAAGTGATTATTACTCAGTGAAAATCGCCACGATTTCGGACTGTTTAAAGAGAAATGAAATGTATATTGTCCCAAGATCGGTAGAATCCTTAACTATTTGAATTGAATTTTCCTAAATGAGAATACATGTATCAACAGTCTAAGTTATCACAAATTTGTGACCTTATCAGACTACTTAACATTTTTTAAATTTGAACTGTAAGTATGAATGTTAGAAATATTTATTAAGTGGCAAAATTGTGTTTTTACTTATAATTTTATCACTAGTCATTTTATTAGAGTTAATGTGCTCATCTCCTTAGATGGAGCAGCCGATAAATTGAACTGCACCAACATCATTAATAATAAATTCATACAGATATTATGAATCGAAAACAAATATATTCATTTCACTGGTTGAAATCATGAGTCAATTGAAGCCAGACCACCATGGAAAACCTGGAAGCACTGGACGGCCGTTTCGTTCTAGTATGGGACTCCTCAGACATTAACACCGTTGGATGCCGGCTCAGTGGTCTAGTTGGTTAAGCGCCTGGAGCGAAACCGACAGGTTCTGGGTTCGAATCTCGCGAGGAGCGGGATCGTGGATGCGCACTGGTGAGAAGTCCCACACTAGGACGAAACGACCGTCCAGTGCTTCCAGGTTTGGCTTCAATCGACTCATGATTTCAACCAGTGAAATTTCCAAAAAATCTCCACAAAACCCATTCTGAAAATATATTCATTAATAATAAATAATGAAAATCAAATATAAACAACTTTCATACATACCAAAATTTGTTTAAATTATACCTAGTTCAGTCTCTTACAGTAGCACTGTCTTAATATTGAAGCATGTTTGATTCTAAATAGTTTGAACAATTTCACAAGTTTGGACAAATAAATGGTGGGAGAAAAGTGAAGTTTTAAGTTCCGATCAAACTTAAATTATTGATTTTTTGTAATTTAGTCATTTCATTAAAATGTAAAACATCACAATACCCAGAAACTTAAATTAATTACTTAATAAAAATTGATATCTGTTACGTAATTCCGTCTTGGATATATCGAAAATTAAACACTCCAATTAGTAAGATAAAATTAATTCCTTTAACTGAGGAATATGATGCACAAAAAGTAATGGCAATTATATTGATATATAAAAATTGAGAACAGAGAGTAGAACAGTGATCATACAACTAATTCAACTGGTACAAGTGGGTTATTTCTGTTTAATAACCACGTGCTGAATAATCAGTCCTGAGACAAAGGCTCATAATCTTTTGGAGAATATGTGGTAAAAACCAAGTAAATAGGAACATATCAAAACTCATGTGTCTTCAATACAACCCACCTGATTTGAGTAACGATACACAAAAGTGTTGTGTGCCTATCAACACTAGCTTCATTACAAAACAGGGTCGTCATAGCCATTCAAAGTTGATAAGTGGGCATAAATATCTCAACCAGACTGTGAAAGGACGATACAGTGATGTGGAAACACGAACCACTCAAGTATAAAGGTGTTTCCATACTTATCAGTTCTTTCTGGGGAGTATTACAAATCAAGCACTTAACTAACAAACCAATAGATCAAACGTACGTGGGCTTTTAAGTTAGGTCCGTATAATTATTGGTTACATGATCAACCAATTCTACAAGTATACTGTAAATGAAATCACATGGACAAACTGAAGATATATTGTGACTTAAAATCTCAACAAATTTTTAATTCTAATTCAATGCCATTATGTAATGATTTCGCCGGCAAAAAAATAACAGCAATCATATTGCATTATCAGCGTGGAACAAACTACATAATGTCAGGTAGTTCATATTTAGAAAGTAGTGGCATGAGCATATTCACAGCTCTTATGATTACATCTTAATTTTATTAACAGAAAGTAATTTGAAACAAGCCATATTGTGTTAATATTGTTGAGAGTCTCTGAGTATAAAATTACATTTTGCGTGTTCGGAGGCAAAGCTTTGAACCTGTGAAAATGACCGAACAAACGCATAAAGGTATTTTGAAAACATACACCGAGACGGTAAACATAGTTAGAATTTTTTCACAATAATGGGCGAATTTTAACTACTACATCCCGATATGATTGACTGGTAGGAACTATATTGAGAAAAAAGATTTCAATCTCAATAGATAGATCTACACTGATGATATTGTAATTACGGCATCAAGTGAATGTGAACACTTAATTAGAAATGGAGCTTTTGATCCCTAACGTCAAATAAATAACTTACAAATCGGAATAGCTCGTTATCGCTTCGTACCAAATCTGAAATTTGTATGTTATACCATTTAAGTAACTCAAATAATAGTAATTCTTATACGTCTGTTCCCCCCCCCAAAAAATACAATCAGTGCTCATAACTGAAAATCCTTTACACCACATAGATTCTGAAGTAGACTAGACATGTCAGATTAAACTATATGATAATCCGATGGACATCTTAAAGTCTTTGTTAGAATGATCGATAGGATTGATTGTTTAACTTGTGGGTAGTATATTCTGCTACTGTATGCTCTCAAAGAGTATCATTATTTCAAAATAAGTAGAGATGATATGCATTCAATGTATCGTATATTTGTTTCACCTCTAAAATCGCTGGAGATTAAATCCTTGAATGAAATTTATTAGGAAGAAATTCGGTATGATGATGTACTAATTTAAAGGTAACATTCATTCACATGACTTTCGTATTAGTTCAGTGCAACATTAATTGTATTAAAAAAAAATCAATGTAATCTCTGTTCGCTTGACTTTTAAACTGATCTTTCGTGATTTTCGTCCAGTTCTTTCATTCAGCACATTGTTCACCCATCTTAATCTTGTGTGAAGTTCGTTAAATGTGACAAATTACTTTACTATTAGTCACCACAATTACATATGTATATAAAATATATCAAAATGATTAGTAATCTCCTAGGGTCTCCACCAATAAATCCATTCCTAGTTGACGAGCAGGAAAGAAGACAAGATTCAATTTGATTCACTGTGAATGAATTCATAGTTGAAAAATTATTAGCTTAGTGTACAGATGTATCGAAAAGTTAAATGTTATAAAGACTAAGTATCTATTGATCTGTGAAAGCATACAAATTGTAGGTTGGAAAAATAGTTCACCACACTAATAATTAGCTATGACATAAGATCCAGTATAAAATGAGTGCTAGTCCAATTTACCAAAAATTCACATTGGTATGAGGAGAACTTTACTATTGAAATGAGCAACGAATTTCCTTGTGTTATTTATTACAGATCATAAGGTGACGGTGTTTTGACTACTACATCTAAATGACGAAAACATGTAGGATGTAAGATGTATATTAATGGGCCACAGTTCAACCTTACGCCAAATGTTTAAAATGTATCACACGATGGAAAAAATCGAGTGTTGTTAGTTTTTTAACGCCTGCTATCCACATCGTGGATGGATTTTTTCTCAAAGACCAGAGAAGGAAACTGGGCAGGTAGTAGCCCTATCAAATTAGAAGTGTGACAAGATAGGTGTTACGTTATCATGTGAATACATTTGGATGCATTAGTATTTTGCAGACCTTACGATCCATAGATGGTCAAGTGTGCTACTTCTAGAGCCGATCATTCCTAACTCCTTTCTGTTGTGAGAAGGCAGAACAGCTGGAGAGACTGTCTATTTATAGGACACACCAAACTACCATCACACGTCAAAACAATTGAGCATGACTCATTTGCTGCTTCTAGTCATAACGCTTTACAACAAGTATATCTGGCATGATAAAACGTACTCCCGCAGATATTTATAAACTAAGTGGAAAATCTAATCAGGTAGTAAGGCAAATATCACTCGGAAACCAATAAATTTATTTGGTACTTTGTATCCTACATAAACTTCTATGTCAATTTTGATAGCGAACGAAACTATCTGTTTGAATCGAAATAAAGAGTAGGCTTAGAATTAACTCAAACTATGAAGAAACTTTTAGACTATCAACCAACGGCTAAAATATATCTCATCACAACATATATTTCTTAAAAGAAAACATTTACTGAAAGTCAACTTCGTGGCGCAAACATGCATATTTATTCTATGAGGAAAAAGAGTATTTTACGAAAAGCATATTTCGAATTTTATTAAAAAGAAGGAATTTGTACAAATAATAAACCGGAGTGTAAACGTTACAAAGATAAATAATTTCTGCTAAAAAAGTTAGTTGAGTGATTATCTACAACTATACTTTTAGAAGTGAATAATGTCGACTACTAATTTTTGTTATTAGAACTTTTTGCAAAATCGATAGTATTTTGAACGGCACTAATCAACTGTTCAATCATTTGACATTGCTGCCGTAAATGCGGTGCGTACGCTGGCCACCGACAGACAGGACATTCAAATGCACCAGTATCTAACCACTTTCTAATGCAATGTTCATGAAAACCATGTCCACAAGGAAGTGCACTTAGGCGTACACCTAAACGGAATTTCTGCCAACATACAACACATTCTTTACACGGTACAACCCATGATGGCCAATCGTTCAAAGGATTCGCAAAATTTATATCATTGGACGACACATATGATGACGAGGAAGAAGTGGACAACATAGAATTACTGGACAGTAAATTACTTCGTTTAGAAACTCTACGAGAATGAAGAAAACCGTTATTTAGGCATGCCTCATGATCAATAGTGTCCACATCTGAGGTAGAACTTGAACTTGGGGATACGGTTATCGGATTTGATAAGTGATTACTTCTTATATTTGGACGAAGATGAGTTCTATACCTTCTTCTTGTAAAAGATGAAGTTTTTGGATAAATACGATCATCACTAGTAGTATCTTCGCATTCATCTTCAGCTTCATAATTAGTATCCACATTACTTATGAGCTGCTTGGTGATACTAAATGATTTTCTTGTCTGAGAATGACACTGACTAGGATTTACACTGGTATGAGGTCTAGCATTACTATTACCAAGTGAACTTAAACAGTTCCAAGTGTACATATGTGCTGCAGTTTTATGGTTTAACGATTCATTATTTTCTCTACTCCCTTGATGATATACATCTGCTGATGAAAACGAAGCAATTGGATTCATTGAAGTTGATGTTAAATGATCAGTTTGTTGACTGAGAATATGATAAAGTCTGCGTAGTCTACGCAATAAACGATAGCCTTCCACGACTTCTGTATTTTCTTTATGATTACTTTGTGTTGTAATAAGACTTGACGATAAAGTTTCATTTGCACATCTTGATTGATTATTGAAAGTTTGATAGTGAGGATAACGAGCATCAGATTCTAATGTACTTGAAGTTGCAGAATCTGCTGAACCAGATCTTAGCTCAATATCTGATTGAATGATTAAACGAGACAATTCATCCCATAACTGGTCAGGTGGTATTTGATTTAACCGTTCTCGGACTAAGACAGGATCCAGTCGATTAGGACGAGAATGTGAATTGTTAGTAAGTTGATCATTATGTCTTTCATATTTCGACATTACACAACTTGACAAAAATACAATAAACAACCAAAACGTCAACATAAAGGAAAATAAATAATACCAGTTTAAATGACCTGATAGGATAGTAAGACGTAAATTGATTATAGGTGAGGATAAGACAAATGACCTTAATAAATAGAGAGTTAAATTAATAATAGGCAGAGAATAAGATAAACTTAACAGATTTAATAACGGTAAAATAGCTAACAGAAGAAGAATATAAGCTGAGAACAAGTCTAGAAAAAACATTTTTATCCATTCTAAAATATGAGATATTATAAACGATTGTATATTGATTGATGATGAACTGTTCAGTTGATCACCATAAATTAATCGACGTTCATCGGTTGAACGATAATGATTATCAGTTGGTCTATTATTGTTATTAATAACTTCATAATGTTGATTAATATTGAAATTAGGAATATGAGATGTCCATCCTTGACGTGCTAGTCTAATCACGGTTCTAGCTAAAGCTGACCGACGGGTACCAGTACTAGTATGATGCCTTCCCACAACACCATGATTTACGTAAAATGAATGTATGAGAATAGATAAAATTCTACCAGCTTCTATAGCACCATTAATTAAGACTAAAATTGTAGTTAAAAGTACAGCAATCCAAAGAAAATCATCCGCCGAAGGATATAAAGAATGTAACAATATTTCAAGATTTTCATAGCTTAAATATTCCCTTTCGTTTAAACCAAACGAGTAACATTTACCTTCAGGTGTTAATATGAGAAAATGAGAATTAATGGTACAATTTAAATTGATTACCAATTCATATACTGTGTTAACAGATGGAGCTGTAATTGGCCAATTATTAACTTTATTATTAATTAATGTGTGATTCTGCTTCACTGTTTCATTCGGTACAATCCAAAAGCGAACTCGACCAGTATATGTTACAGAAAGTGCACTTAAAACTAATGGTGGTTGTTGATGTGAGCGACTTAACTTCGACTTGACAGAGAACTCAGGAAACCAAAGAACATGGATTGGTTGAGGCCGTTTCAATAACCAAAATGACAATAAATGTTTTAAATAATCCATTTTTATCAATCGGTCAATCGATAATATTGAATTCACTGGATAAATGCTGTTTATGTTATTCAGTAGTTTTACACGTTCTGCTAACACTGATACAATCCACGTGTGAATACCTTCTAAGATGTAGTTACTTGATTCATAATCAATAATTGATGTAGATTCTGGATCTTTAGGCAAAGGTCGAAATTGTACTATATCTTTCATACGTTCACCACCTTTGGGTAAGGCAAGAATAAGGTCAGGATTAATGAAGCCACGATCAATACAAAGGCTGAAATAAAAAGTAAATTTATCATAAAATGATGTGGTACAATATGAGAAGCAATTCACCGCTTCAAAAATTAACAAAAATCTGTTTATGTACGTCCCTTCGTTTCTAACATTTTATTAATTTAATAGCAATTCGTTTAGCGGAGAACTTAGTAGTTACAACAAAAACCAGAAGTTCTACAATACGTTCAAAAGGTACTAACAACGAAAAATGCTTATAGGTTGAACAAGGTGACATTTTAAGTGAATGAGTTTTCAAAACTTTTGAAGTCGACGCCTTTGACATACATCGAGTTATTTGGATTATAAAGGAACTAGAAAATATTCTAATGTATTTAATATTATGTAGGATTCTAAGTAGATTTTCGCGGGCAGTATTCTAAGTGATCCTATTTTGCTCAAATTTGAAGATGGACTTATTTTTAACTGCTACCACAAGTTTTGTCACGAAGTCACAAAATTACCCACATGTTTTGGGGTTGATTGAATAATCAGATTGTAGCTCAAAAGTTGACTTGGAAGATCACTAACGGTTAACCGATTTGTTTCGTTAAATATTTTGAACAGGAATGCAACCCTATGCAATTTTAGTGAATTAATTAAAGTCTGGAAAGCTATCACTTAGTACAGACAAAGCTTATGAGATTTATTAGCAATGTTTTACTCTTAGAAGCACGCTATATTTTTTTGGTGGGAAACTGTTACATCACTACAAAATGATTATGGCTGAGACAGTTTCTCACGAACATTTTTCAAAAGCACGTCCCCTAGTTAAAAATAAATGCTTCAATCTTGTGAGCTAAACCCCCTTATAAAGAGAAAGATGATAACACGAATTCATCCATGAATAATGTTCAAACATATGCTAGTGAATGAGAGATAATTTCATTTTCCACCTTTCCCTAAGTGATAAGGCTGTTTTTAATATTGAGTTGTTTTCCACATCAAATGAACTGAAGTGGTCTACAAAATCCTATATGGATAAATGGATAATGCTTATATATTACACAAAAGTGCGAATACGAATCTTAAGCGTTGTATTTTTCACAAAACAGAATGAAAGGATATCCATCCATGAAATAATAAAAGGTATCTTATATTACTGAGATGATTGTTTCAAATAAAAAGTTCATACCTGTGTAGTTTTCCACAGTTCAGTAAACCCATCTTAAATCCAAAGGACTGATACCGATAACATAAAACAGACCAAATCTGCTCAGTAACAACTGATGAAGGTTTTATTCTGGATGGAGTTGTGCTCGTATGATCTCCCGCGATTGATGAAGAGAGAGACTGTGGAGCAGCTACGGCTAAAAGCCAAACACTATCCTTTTTATCTTCAACATGTTCAATAAATTCAGATTCACTGTCAAATACAATGCTATTTGGTTTGAAACTAGATGACGTGTAATCCAACTTCAAAGACTGATGAAATGAATTAACTAGTTTTCTGTACAGAAGTGCATCTGGGGAGTTGGAGAAATTCGTGCTTGCAAACTTCAACTGCTCAGCTTTGGCATTTGAAAGTTCACTCGAAGTAACGAGACCTAAAATGAAACGATCAGTCCAAAGATTATCATGCATGCAAACCTGTTACAAAGTATACAACCGAATAAACTAAATCCTCCAGATATTAAGTAGGCAAGTATTTAGCTACGACGTGGATTATGAAAAGCTGTTAAACGAGCGGTAATAATTAATTGTTTAGTGAACATCCCTAAAGCCCTTAGTAAGGAGGAACAAGAAGAAAAGAAGAAAATATTTTGATAAAACATAGTCAATCATTTTTAAACAACGTTGAACCTGGGACGCATGTGCATCGGTCCACCTCACCACACCACATCAATACAGTGAGATAAATTTATCAAGACAAATACCATAGCAGAAGTAGTAAAAAGGTTAACGGTAGTAGATAATGCAATATGATCTGAGAATACGCTTGCGGAATAAAAGGCACGAGATACTTTAGAACTCAAAATTTATGGTGAGATAAAGAATAAATGTATCTGGACCATCGTGCCGATTCTAATCCATGTCACTCAACCACTACAACCACTGACCATAGCAATCGTGTGAACCTCAATCAGAGTTTTCACCTATCTACTATCATGTGAAATGTTATTAACGAAAGCACACGAGTTTAATACCATAATGAATTACCATAATTTTCAAATTTTATTTTACTAAGCGATCAACGTTTATAATACATCTGATGAATATTTGTATATTTCTCGAATGACGCCAATATCCAGCACTTAAAATGCTGGATGTACTCTAGTTAGTTCAAAATAATGAACAAATTATTTTCGATCTAGTAAGAACACCACCAGCGAAAGATAGCATATTTATCCATCACGTTAGAAGAATCTGACTGAATATGTACAAATTAACATTTTTGTAAATGAAAATAAATTGGAACAAATCAGTTGGGACAAGAATTCTAATAGTGAAGGTATGGTGAAGGAGAAATAGCACCGCCATTAACACTAGGATGAAATGGTAACAAAACTAGGCTCATCATAAAAAAGAAATTGCTTTATATGGCACAAGATGATTTGGATTTTCGCACGACTACAGATGCAGTTTTCACCAACGTGACGACTTTAAGCTCGACAATACAATCCAATTTAAGGATGTTTATCAACATAAATGACTAACCTCACCAAGTTCACTTATCGAAGTTTTGAGTTCCGAATGTTCGTGGAGTAGTTAAATAGTTGGTTCGACCATCCTCAAATCCACATCCAAAACTCCATCATCTTTCGTCATAAATAACTTATCCTAATGTGCTTTTTTAATTTAACTAAAACTGTTTACTTACAGTGACCAGTGTATAAAATGACGGGAAAATATCGCAGAGTGATATTTCGTTTGCATCAAGTTACAGAAAATTATGAGATGGAATATCTATTCTGAATCTTAAGTGTACGGTAATGACCAACAACAACTACAACTAATCTCCAGAAAATGCAAAATCACTTGACTATATCGAAAGACTATCAAAGCCACAATGATAATATCCAAATAGTTAATATTTTATCACAGCTAAAATGGTAATTCATACTTATTGGTTGTTTTTTGTGTGTCGTGAAGTCAATATTGAGTACTAATTTCATCCTTAACCCATCACATCAAATGCAGCTGGTGGTAGTTGGAGTGACAATAATGACAAAGACTTAATTCCAAAGTGAAGATAAAAAGATAGACGACCTATACAAATATTTACCTGCCGAAGTTGTCAGACACTATATAAACAGAGACTAACAGTAATAGAGAAAAACAACACTAACGACGGTAAAAAGCTTCATATACGAGGAAAGATACAAGAAAATTACGGGATGGAAAACATAAAATAACGACCTTATGTTTTAAATGACAAAGTAACGTCGACATAAGACTATTTATTTGGAATAGGGAACTCATCAAATGAAGTATTTACAGTGGAGTCATACATAGGTACACGCGTGTCCCAGAATATAAGGCACCCAGCTTCCAGACAATGGTTTGAAGGTGGAAATCTGGGACCACTTAGTTCAGAGAGAGTAGCCAGCTTGTGATTCGAGATCAATTATTCGAACCAATTTTCAGTGTAATTACAATAAGTTAAAGGGATCTATAGCGGGGTGCCTTTTAATGTCAGACGCCAAATATCTTCCCACAAACAAAAAATTACGAAACAAGATTATGTAGACAGCTTGTCCTATAAATAAAGAAATTGAAAATTTATAGTCGTGAAAGACTACCGTCAAATACGTGAGGTATAAAAAGATAAAATAAGTTAATTTTGTAAGCAGAAAGTTTTATTCTGTCCCCTCACAACCTTGTTTTTATTGTGTGGAGCACATATACTCGGTGCACCCTTTTACTGGTGTTTATGTGTTCAAATAAATAAATGCAGGCGGTTCTGATAATTTTCCAAGGGAGCGGTAATAAATTAAGACAAGGGTTTGTAAATAAGGTTGAGGATACATCACGAAAAATATTAGTACAGGTACCAAACCTAGAACATGTCTTCTATTTACTGAAAAACTCATTCCTGGATTCTGTACTATAATATACGCTGTTCATTGAATTATTTATATGCTGCTCTGAATATGACCACAACTACAATTACTGCCATTAAAATATGCACACACAAAAAACAACTTCAAAAATTAAACTACATACAGAGAATAAAAGCTAATGCTTTGTACAAATGTCTTGTCACATCACCAAACTTATATTTTCTTAAGGCGTATCTTCGATGCTTAACCTTTTCTGTTAACACTAATATTGTTATCTTTATTATTCTGGAGTTTGTCGACATGATCTATCCGTGCTAATAAGGTATAGGAACTTGAGACAGTATATGCATGTGGAGGGTTCTGCATTGTGTTTAAATGACTGACTTGGTTTCTAAATGTGTATCCATGTGCATAATTATACCCTAAGCTACAAAACATACACCTTCACTGTACTTAGGACCCAAACCATACATGAATAGTTTCTCAGTAAATTTCAAATATGTTTCGGAGATCTTAAGGATTAAACAAAGAATTTAACTACCTAGGTATAAACCAAATTACCGGTCGAGTTAACTGCAAACTCAATATCATTAAGGTCAAGGGAAGAATAAAGCACTCCACGCTGATCCAAAACAGCTCTTAGTTGGGAAACAATTTTTGGACTTTGTTTTTCATTAATATCTTTTCTAAAGTCATCATTTTTAGGAAGTTCAGTTTCAAAATCCGCAATTGCCTCGTCCAGAAGTTTGTACATGTACGCGGCCGAACAGATCGAAAGTGTAAAACATGTTATTAGGCTAACACGTGAACGGAGACGCTTAAGTTCAGAGTGTTCGGGTGAAACTGTACTCAGTTGAGGACACATCTACGAAAAGAAGAAAAACTACGTCAAAGTTCGCGACGTCAAGCACATAAACGACCTCAAATTTTATGCATTGAAACAGTAAAGTGCAGATGGTTTTTGGAAAACAAATTGTAACAGTAAATTAATCATGTTCCCATGTATCTTGATGTCAAATAAAGTTTTTTTAGTTTCTAATTGTATTTAATGACTTGAGTCTTGTCTAATGTTCTCAATTGCGTAATTGGAATCGACAGTTTGCCGGAAGTCTGTGCAATTTGGCTGAGTGTGTATGTTTCAAACCATTACAAAACTCGAGTCAAGCCACTTTCACTTCATGGCATATTCAGTTTGTGGGATGACTTTATTCGAAGACATGATATACACATCTATGATCTCCAAATGGTATATGTGATTTTGGGTCGTTTATAGTAGTGCCAAGAAGAGACTTCGATCGATAGAACTCAACCATCCCATGATGATAAGACAGAAAAATACTGATAAATGCTCGTTCATCAACCTATTGTGAATATGCCAGTTCTATAAGCTGACTGCAAGCCTAAATAATCCAGCAAAAGCTATAATAGTGGATGACGGGATATTTTGTGGTCACAGAAACACTGTCCTTATAAGTGTCAAACAATACGAGACCCAGGTCAACTTCTCCCTCACAATCGCCCTACTTACTTCCTTACTCCTGTTACCCCTAGTGGAGGAGCGTAGGCCGTCAACCACCACTCGCTGTCCAATCCTGTCCTGAGCAATCCTTTCCAGCTCCTTCCAGTTGTTATTCATCCTTTTCATATCTGATTCTATTATCCGACGTAATGTGTTCTTCGGCATTTCGCTTTTCCGCTTCCCTTCAGGATTTCAAGTCAATGCTTGCCTCGTGATGCAGCTTAGTGATTTCCGCAATGTATATCCTATCCATTTCCATCGTCTTTTCATAATTTCCTCTTCAGCTGGAAGTTGGTTTATTCTCTCCCACAGAATGTTGTTGCTTATGGTATCCGGCCAATCGATGTTGAGTATCTTGCGCAGACAACTGTTTATAAATATTTGTACCTTCTTGATGGTGGTTGTTGTAGTTCTCCAAGTTTCAGCTCCATACAGTAGAACTACCTTGACGTTCGTATTGAAGATTCTCACTTTGATATTGGTTGAAAGTTGTTTTGAGTTCCATATGTTCTTCAATTGTAGGAATGCGACCCTTGCTTTGCCGATCCTCGCCTTTACGTCTGCATCTGATCCTCCTTGTTCATCGATGACGCTTCCCAGATATGTGAAGGATTCTACATCTTCCAGAGTTTCGCCATCAAGTGTGATTGGATTGCTGTTCTCCGCTTTGAATTTGAGGACCTTAGTTTTCCCTTTGTGTATGCTGAGGCCTACTGATGCAGAGACTGCTGCTACACTGTCCGTCTTTATCTGTATTTGTTCGTGTGTATGCGAAAGAGGAGTAGGTCATCTGCGAAGTCCAAATCGTGTAATTGGTTCTGAGCTGTCCATTGTATTCCGTGTTTTCCTTCAGATGTCGAGGTCTTCATAATCCAGTCGACCACCAGAAGAAAGAGGATGGGAGAGAGTAAACAGCCTTGTCTGACTCCGGTCCTTACTTGGAATGCACCTGTCAGCTCTCCTCCATGCACTACTTTGCGCTGTATTCCGTCGTATGAGTTCCCGATAATGTTGACAATATTCTCAGGAACTCCATAGTGTCGAAGAAGTTTCCATAATGTTCTTCTATCTACACTGTCAAACGCCTTTTCATAATCAATGAAGTTGATGTATAGCGACGAATTCCATTCAACTGATTGTTTAACGATAATCCGTAGTGTCGCAATTCGGTTTATGCACGACCGATCCTTACGGAATACAGCCTGTTGATCTAGAAGTTGGGCGTGTAATGTGTCTTTCACCCGGTTCAATAGAACTCTGTTGAAAACTTTTCGTCGTACTGACAGTGGTGTGATGCCTCTGTAGTTCTTACATTTGCTCAGATCGCCTTTCTTTGGTATCTTGATGAGGTATCCTTCTTCCTAGTCCATCAGCACCTGTTCCTTCTCTTAAATCTTCTTGAATATAAGGTTAAGCATACTTGGAGTTACTTCTATGCCTGACTTCAGTGCTTCGGCTGGTATATTGTCAGGTCTCGCTGATTTCCCTTTCCTGACTGTCTGATAGCCATTCTGATTTCTTTGATCTTTGGTGGAGTGACACCCTCAGGGAGACCTGTGTGTGATGCTTCGATGTCCGTTGAATTCAATCACGCTGAGCTACTGATCTGTTCCTCTGTTCTTAGATACCGCAGAAAAAAATCCCCCCTAAGAAATGCCAACAAGATTAAACAATTTAAGCCACAGCAATCTCCTAGCGGGTCCAATTATATCTTTTAAGGTTTCAGGGGAACTGATAGGAGAAAGTAGTGGAATTTGAAGTAGTAAATAAAAGTGGAAAAACTGAGCAGTATGACAGGGCAAAATTATTCCTAACGAAACAGCCACCAGCTCTATTCTTTAAAAATGCATTTGTGTGTGCCTTTGGCTAATTAAAATATAAAATAGGGCTTGAATTCATCCAAGATACTGATAATGGTTATACGGTAGTGGCGCGATATGCGACATTTTTATCGTCTCTGTGAGCCATGACAGATGCTGTTTTTTCGGTATTCCTTTCAGATTACTTCACAGGTCCTTGATGTTATTAGTGACTTAAATGATCTAAATATAATTGTTTATGCAACGTTTATACATTTGATGCTGCTTTATGTGGGTTAAATTACTTTTTACAACGACTATTATCAGGCAGTTTTGGCACTGCACCAGTGATCTCGGTTCGGTGCATAATCTTAATTGTCTTACAAACAACATTTTAGTGGTCGAAATGAGTGATGTCATTAAGGTATTCTAAATTGTACTGGTCTGAAAGCTTTCGATTTCCTGACAGAATCTGTGATGACGGACCACCGGTGAACTCGAGGAAGCTGTAAGAGACTCAGAAGGAGCCGAAGACGTCTCACTCAATCACCCTTCGGAAGGATATTCTAGAATTCCAACGTGTAGCTTCCCGATTGGATAATGCTAATAACCCCCTGTATGCGGATTGGAAGACTGTAATGATGATTTCGTTCTCACTAAAAACTATAAATACCTGACAATTTTGTACTATGATCGACACTGTTTGGAATAATATTCCTTTCGTTAGTCTTCTGTCTTCTTACTGCGACTTGGAAGGGTTTGGTGTTCTAGTGCTCTGTTATACGCGGTAGTATCAAGAAAAATCAACTTTTCAAGATATAACAGAATCCTAACAGTTTTTACTAGACAGCATGGTGTTCATAAAGGCTATACTTATCTAGATATATCGGTCGAAAATTAAATGTAGGGTTCTCTAAAACATCAGTGTCTAATAAACAACGGATACCTGTAAAAAGCCTGCTTATCGTTTTATTTAGACATCAGAATGCTCCCAAACTGTCTACTGATTATAACAGTGTATCTATTTGAACTGCTACTTCAGTGCCAGCTTGATTTTATCCTAGGCAGATTTGAATATATTTTGAACTTTTTTAGCTAAGGTGGATATTAACGGTTTTCGATTTCGACTAAAGTACTTGAATCCTCTCCCAGGATTCTTCATCAAATGTTATCCTTACCATATCAAAGTTTGAAAGATTAGTATATGGCGGTAATCCACGTCAACATTAAGTTATCTCGGGAGTCTCTGAAGATTCAGCTGACACAGAAGCGATCAATCTACCTTCATTTCTCTATTGGTATCTCAGAGTGACAGGTAGTTTTAATTTTCAAGTTACTAAAGGATTTATGACTTCAGAGAGTGGGTAGTGCTTGTTCACATCAATATCATTCCATTCACCCAACTTCATTTTAAATATTTATATGAGGAAAAGGTTGAAATCAAGTTTTCCAAGTCGTACACAGCTCAATGCGAAACCAGTCACTTACCAGTCACTACATGTATCAACTTATACAGTACTGTTCTGAGATGCAGAGAAAAAAGTGAACCAAGTCAGAAATCTGCATTTACGCTCCAGCAAAACTAGAGACTTGTGCATGGATCAATGTTTGCAGAGAACAGTGAACACATTGGAATTTAGTTGTAACAAAATCAAATACCACGACCTACTTTTCCTCAAACTTTACTTAGCGTGATGGGTGATAAATTGCTAGTCCACTGAAGATGCCAGAGGTATTCGAAGTTTGACAACGCTTTAACCAGTAACACCTTCTAATATGAATCGTACCTACCAAGTGAAATCAAAAGATAGAAGCGAGAAGGTTCGAAGATATATTTGATAGGCTATTAATATATCGAGGATCGTCTGACCTAATCTGGCTAGCGATTGCAGGGGTTGTTGAGCACGGCGTTCTCACTCGTGATCTGTTGCGGATGCATGATCGAGCGCTTTCAGCTAGGTGAGTCCATTAAAACTAATGTGGTCAGCATCCACTGTCGAAAACTTACAGAGCTATTTATTTTGGGGATTTATTTACCGCTACACCATAAATGTGCCTCATATTCTTCCACCATATTATTCACAACTCTTGAAAATGCTGAAGTTATTGCAAACTATCTTTTCTCGAGTGATTAGTATGGTAGGAGAGTGTAGTTCTTATTCAGGCCTCTCTCATTGTGTCGTCATAGATTTCTTTATGTACTGAAGTTGGTTATTTCTTGGTCGTATATATATCTTGCATCCAAATATCTGGTTTTGAAGTATCGTGAACGGAATAACAGAGGTCGGTAAAAGACATCAAAGAGATTATGAAACAAATTACAGCATAAAAGTGAGAAACTAAGTTCATGAACGACAGCCTCGTCTTCATAAATGTCTAAAGGTTGTGGCGCAAATTCATCGAATAAATATTCCAGTATTGCTCTTTTTCGAAAGAAAAGTAATTCGCTAGTATCTACAAATCATAGGCTGGAGAAGTGGTTCATTTTCCATTTGACGGTGGAAGAGATTGGCGTGAAATGAATTGATTTGTAAATTGAGAATCAATTTTAATATGGTGTAAAAGCCACATTTAATACACGAAGCGAAGGATTAATAAG